TTTTTTTTTTTTTTTTCCAGCTAATTAAAACAGAAATTAATAACAATAAAAATGAAATAAATGATAATAACAAGTTTATAATAACAGAAATTAATATTGAACAGCAAATTACAACTTCCATTTTTCATCCATTTTCTTTTTCCCTTTTTTTTTTATTTCTTTACTTAAATAAAAAATAACAATAAAATGCAATCAAAAACACAAATGCTTGTAACCTGAAATAATCATATATATTTTTCCTCTTTTCTTGAAAAACAATTAAAATGTATCAAAAAGTAAATAATGCCTATTACACTAAAAACTTTTTTCCTTCAAATTTCAAACTTTTCACTTTTTTCAAAAAAAATAGGCAATGCTCTTTCCTTTTTTTTGTTTTCACTTTCCTCTTTTTTCTCTAAAAAAAATCTACGCTAAAACTTATAAATTAACAACTACAAAAACTAAAAAGGGAATAAAAATAAAATAAACCTAAAAAAACTAGACAAACGAAAATGAACCAAAATGCAAAACCGTCTAACACAAAAATCAACCAATTATCACTAAAACCAAACAAACAAAATTAATTCAAAAATTTGGTGTCTACAGTTTGCCCATCTTTGTCTGAGTTTTGAAAAACTTGAGACAAAGAAGTAGACGCCAAATACTTACCTGTGTTATTGGGCTGCAAAAGATTCCAACGAACAGGAATTATAACACGGACTGACCGAACATGGAAAATAAAACGGGACTGACCCGAACCAGAATTGAAAACGGGACTGACCCGAACATGAAAAATTAAACGGGACTGACCCGAACAGGAATTTAAACGGGACTGACCCGAACAGAATTTAAACGGGACTGACCCGAACAGGAATTAAACGGGACTGACCCGAACAGAATTTAAAACGGGACTGACCCGAACAGAATTTAAACGGGACTGACCCGGAACTGACCCGAACAGAATTAAACGGGACTGACCCGAACAGAATTTAAACGGGACTGACCCGAACAGGAATTTAAACGGGACTGACCCGAACAGAATTTAAACGGACTGACCCGAACAGAAATTTAAACGGGACTGACCCGAACAGAAATTTAAACGGACTGACCCGAACAGGAATTTAAACGGGACTGACCCGAACAGAATTTAAACGGGACTGACCCGAACAGAATTTAAACGGACTTCACTGGGGAAGTTTGAGACAATGAATTGAATTTTTTTTACCTGAGAGTAGTTCAAATTTTGTACCTAGAGGGAGATCGGATCTCTGTAGTTGAGGCGATGGCTGATGTTGGTCCTTATAATCTAACTTTGCAAATAACATTGCTTTAGGTTTGAAAAAGAGAATGATCGCTTTCATTTGTGAACGCAGTGTTCCT